GTATGTTACCATAATTTGTTTATCCATTCATCTGTTAATGGGCACTTAGGTTGTTTCCACCTTTTTGCTGTTTTGAATAATACTGCAATAAACATAGGTGTGCAGATGCCTATTCATATGACAGCTCTTATTTCTCTAGGATATGTTACTAGGAGTGGGATTGCTGGATCATATGGTATTTCTATTTCTAGCTTTTCAAGGAAGCGCCATATTGTTTTCCATAGTGCTTGTACCATTTTACACTCCCATCAGCAGTGCATAAGAGTTACAATCTCCCTGCAACCTCCCCAATATTTGTTATTTTCTGTTTTTTTGACTGGTGCCAGAAACACTGGAGTGAGACAGTATCTCATTTTAGTTTTGATTTGCACTTCTCTAATGGCTAATGATTGCAAGCATTTCCTCATGAGTCTGTTAGCTACCTGAATGTCTTCTTTGATGAAGTGTCTGTTCATATTCTTTGCCCATTTTTTAATTGGATTATTTGTCTTTTTGTTGTTGAGGTGTTGAAGTATTCTGTAGATTTTAGAGATCAGACTCTTGTCAGATAGGTCATAGCCAAAAATTTTTTCCCAGTCTGTAAGTTTTCTTTTTACTCTTTTGGTGAAGTCTTTTGATAAGCATAAGTGTTTAACTTTTAGGAGCTCCCAGTTACCTAGTTAATCTTCTGGTATTTGTGCATTTTTAGTTATGGCTTGTGTTCTATTTATGCTACGTATTAGGGCCCCTAGTGTTGGAAAATTAACAATTTTTTTTCAAAGCAGACATACTTTACCAATTAAAATAAGCTTTTTTTAAAATTATGATTTAAGTGAAAGTTTACATAGCAATTTAGTTTCTCATTAAACAATACAAAAATTGTTTTGTGACATTGACTGCCAACCCTGCGATGTGACAACACTCTCCCCTTTTCCACCCCAGATTCCCTGTTTCCATTCATCCAATTTTCCTGTTCCTTTCTACATTCTTGTCTTTTCTGCTCGTGTACCCATTAGTCTCATATACATGATTGAACTATGAAGCATGTCCCTCACGTGTGTAACTGTTGGCCCTATAGCCCTGTCTGATCTTTGGCAGAAGGGTGAACCTCAGGAGTGACTTTAGTACTGAGTTAAAAGGGTGTCCGGGGGCAATACTCTCAGGGTTTCTCCAATCTCTGTCAACCCAGTAAGTCTGGTCTTTTTTTGTGTGTGTGAATTTGAATTTTGTTCTACATTTTTCTCCCGCTCTGTCCAGGACTCTCTATTGTAATCCCTGTTAGAATACTCAGTGGTGGTAATCGGGCATCATCTAGTTGTTCTGGGGTCAATCTGGTGGAGGTTGTGGTAGTTGTGGCCCATTAGTCCTTTGGACCAATCTTACCCTGTGTCTTTGGTCTTCTTCATTCTCCTTTGCTCCAGCTGGGATGGAACCAGTAAATGTATCTCAGATGGCCATTGGCAGGCTTTTTTTTAAATTGTTGTAGTTTAAGTGAAAGTTTACAATTCAAGTTAGTTTCTCATACAAAAATTCATACATTGTTATGTGACCCTAATTGCTCTCCCTATACTGTGACAGCACACTCCTCCTTTCCACCCCTGATTTCCCATGTCCATTCAATAAGCTCCTAACCCTCTCTGACTTCTCATTTCACCTCCGGACAGAAGCTGCCCATTTAGTCTCATGTATTTACTTGAGCTAAGAAGCACACTCTTCACAAGTATCATTTTATGTCCCATAGTCCAGTCCAATCTTTGTCTGAAGAGTTGGCTTTGGAAATTGTCTTAGTTCTGGGCTGACAGAGAGTCCTGGGGCCATTCTTTCTGGGATTCCTCCAGTCTCAGTCAGACCATTAAGTCTGGTCTTTTTACTAGAATTTGAGTCCTGCATCCCACCCTTCTCCGGCTCCATCAGGGACTCTCTGTTGTGTTCCCTGTCAGGGTGGTCACTGGTGGTAGCCGGGCACCATCCAGTTCTTCTGGTCTCAGGCTGATGAAGTCTCTGGTCTATGTGGTCCTTTCTGTCTCCTGGGCTAATACTTTCCTTGTGTCTTTGGAGTTCTTCATTCTCCTTTACTCCAGGTGGTTGGGACCAATCGCTGCATCTTAGATGGCCACTTGCTAGCTTTTAAGACCCCAAATGCCACTCACCAAAGTAGGATGCAGAACATTTTCTTAATAAACTTTGTTATGCTAATTGAGCTAGATGTCCCCTGAAAGCATGGTCCCCAGACCCCTTCCCCTGCTACTCTGTCCCCAAATTAACAATTTTTATAGTCATTTTTGAAAAGGCCAACTCTCTACTCTTCAGTTGTATAGACTGCAGCTTACCAGATATTTCATCTAACCCATATGCTGTTTCTGACCGATCAGTTCGAATCTGAATTTCTCAGTCTAGTATTTTACAGAACCAATGTTCAACAAATATTTATTGACCACCCACAATGTTCCAGACACAGTTCTAGGCACTGTCCGTAAGCAAGCTTTAGTCCTGGAATAATTATGTTCCATTAGGAATGTCTACTCCGCCCTTGTCTTTACAATCTAGAGAAAAACCTGTGAGGATCAGTAAAAGATTGTTTGCCTCTTTATTTATAGGGCAGTAAGCATCAAGTGGAGCCCTGGTGGCGCAGTGGTTAAGTGTTTGGCTGATAACCAAAAGGTTGGCAGTTTGTATCCACCAGCCACTCCTTGGAAACTCAGTGGCAAAGAGTTTTCTTTTAAGTATCAAATGAGGAGCCCTGCTGGTGCAGTGGTTAACTGCTCAGCTGCTAACCAAAAGGTCAGCTGTTTGAACCTACCAGCAGCTCCGCGAGAGAAAGACGTGACAGTTCACTTCCATAAAGATTACAGCCTTGGAAACCCTATGAGGCAGATCTATTCTGTCCTATAGGGTCACTATGAATCAGAATCAACTTGACAGTAACAGGTTTTTTAAGTGTCAAATGCTACAGATAATTCAAAATAGCATAAGGACTGAAAGGTATATATGCCAAATTTGACAACTAAAGTCATTAGACCCCTATGTGGCAAAGCCCATTTAGGACCTGCTCTGTAGCCATGGTCACTTCAAGTGACAGCATCTGCTGAAATGGACTCTTACATACAAAATGATAATTTAAAGAGGGGGGAAAAAAAACCAAGGAACAGCTCTGGCTCCTGCTCTTTTAAAAACTTTGCCCTTAAGGATTTTATGATGCTTTTGATACACATGCCTCAACCCCCACCTTACAGAATGTGAAGTGAAGCACTCACTTACGTGCAGATGCAATGGCTGTTATCTTGACCTTGAAGTGACCTTAACAGACCATTGGCCCTGTTATCTAATTGCTGCCAGAAAGGAGGATTATGGATTACTTGTTGTTAACTCAATGTCATAATTTCTGGTAAATAACCCTCTTCCAACTTTTTGCTGATTTATATTTTAAAATCTCATATAATAAATAAGTAACCATATTTAGTTATCTGGGCATACATCATTTATATCTAGTTTATCTTAGAGGGCATAATAGGAAGTTCAAAGCTAGAAGTGCTATAGGTGCTGTATTGACTCAGTTTTCGGTCTGAGGGCGGCATTGATTATCATTGTTTCAAAAATTCCCTGAGCTAAAATTCACAACACAGAATGCCACGGGGTTTTTGATCATTCGTTTATCCACACGGAAAAGCTGTGAATAAATGAAATACTTTCTGAACACAATTTTGATCCTGCTAGTGAGAATACCCTCAGACCACCTGAAAGGTAAATACACAGGCATCTTCCTTATCAAGCTCCTCAATTTTCACAAAAGGATGTCTGTTCAATCCAGAGCACCACAGCTAGTCAATGCACACAGCTCTGCACTAAATGGCAAGGGAGAAGAGCTGCACTGAGGGTACATGTTGAGGACAATCATCTCAACCCCTATACTACTGTACTTAGTATATTATACTTTTCACAAATCTACTCATTCTAATACATCATTGGATCTTATCCTGTGTCATGATCTCACTGAAGAATCCGATGAAAGTTATGAATCCTCTCTACACTGAAACAAACTTGAACATACAATTTTGGGGGTGAACTGTGAGACCGCTGTCCATGGACGGAAGTTCAAAAAGCTCTCTCTATAAACTTTAAAATCTATCCCTGAATAGACCAATACCACTAGAGAACCACATAGATGGATGTATCACATTGGCCTTGTACTGAAATGCTTGTTCTAAATTGTATATTGGCACAATTCCAACTGCTGTTGCTGAGGCACGTTAGAAGGAAGAACCCACTATTTACTTTAAAGAAGGTAATGAGGTTGTGTTCACTGCATACAGTTTCCTCTGAGAACCTAGGGGAGATATGCCTCTCTGGGCTCAGCTCTGCTTCTTCTCAGCATCCAGCTCTTTTTTGGGGAAATGGACAGTTTGGTACACATATGGTACTATGCTTCCTTCCTCTTGGCTGCTAAAAAATTCACGGCCTACCTCTAACAATTTAAGTCTCTCAATGGCATACATTTTCCTTACTGACTTCACTCCTGAAGTGGTTTTAATTGTTCGTCTTATTTTCATTATTTATTTTTAACTTGTTCTACTTTCCCATATTGTAGAAAAATCCTTACTCTTTAGAAGAAGGGGGCTATACATGAGTTAAACTGTAGGAGACAGAAGAAAAAAAGTTATCTTTTTCACCTGTTTCACCACTGGTGATCTACTCACATCTATCTCTCTGAATCACTTCCTAAAACACTCTTTTTTTTGTTGTTTTTTCAGTGATAGATGCAAATATTTGTGAGAAATAGTACTTCTTCAGAAAATTCATACTTGAAAGATGTTTTAAAATTCTTTTGGATTAATACAGTATGTATACATGTGTGTACTAATATGTGTGTTTTAAAGTAACCATAAAGATGAAGTAGGATTTTGATTACATTTTCATACAGATTTCTGCACAAAACTAAATTGAAATTTGAATTTTTTCAACAATTAACTTCTTCACTTAAAGGAGTTTCATATTTTTACAACAGTGAAGCTGCAAATGCTTACAGGCACGTGGACTTTTCGGAACATCTCGGCACCCTTGTGTGCATCCATCAGTGCAATGTCCTGGGGCGTGGAGACAATCACAGCACCTAACCAAAAGATAAACAAAACACTAATAATGATATATTTTAATTGTTTATGGAAAGATTACTTCATTTTATGTTGCTTAAAGGGCCTATTACATTATGTATTTAGGTAATTTGTATAAATTTTACATAAATGAGTAAGGAAGTTAAGGTCTACTTTGCCCTTGCCTACCTTCAACTCTTCGCTTCTAGAACCACAACCGACTGTCCAGTGATTTAGAATCATAGCTATATCATCAGAATTTTCTTCCCATTCAGACAATGTGCTACTTAGATGCACAAGGCAGGCCTTACTTTCAAGAAGTTAATAGTCTACTTGGGGAGACCAGCAAATGTACTAAGCATTAAAACAGAGATATGCATAGGGCATCATGGAGTTATAAAGGAAGAACAGGAAGGAAAGATAACTAATTCAATCCCGGGGAGATGATGGTGAAGGTGATGGATGGAGTAGGGAAGCAAGAGATAAGGAGTAGCAATAGGGGAAAGGTTCCAGAAACAGCTGATTCCCAAGCTGAGTCCTAAAAGTTTGTATTACAGAAAACTCACTAGTGTGGAACACACTGTGGAGAACAGTTTGGTGAGGGTAAAACTGGAGGCTGTGGCAGAAATTCACATGTAAATTAGTGGCAGGCTAAACTAAAACAGCAGTGATTGGATGAAGATGGAGGCTTTCTTGGGTCTCTATTCTTACCCTACAGACCAGAAAGTTCTAGAGAATAATGTTTTGAGAGAAAGTACAGTACAATTTTTTTAAGTGGAAACTCCAGAGGCCTAATTATGATTTCAGAGTCTGTGAATTTCTTAAAATTTGCAGTTTCTTTTAAACGATAATCTAAATAATAATAAAAACATAAACATATTCTACACCACCTAGATAATCATTACCTATAACTATCTACACATTGACATGACATTTCAAAGCCCAAAACCACCAAATTCATACGAAGTGGAAATACTTTGCCACAGCTAATGAAAACAGAGTTAGGGTTAACAATAAATAAAACAACTGCATCAAGTGAAGGTCAAATGACACCACAGAGTATTATCTGAAGGAATATTTTGAATAAGTTAGAATAGAGAAAAGCGATGGGAGAACCAAGTTATCAAGTGATAATATAGGCACGCCAAACTCAAAAAAACCTGTACAACAGTAGTTAGTTATAAATTTATCTTGCAATTGACACTCTTGTTTCAGCAAAAAACATCTTTTACATTAAATGTCATTAATTTAAATTTTACTGATTTTATAAGTTTTGCCTATTTTTTTTAATTATATAAACTCAAGGAATTTATGTTCCCACTTAATCAAGTAATCTTATAACAAAAATAAATTAATATAGGGTGTGGGTGCAGGAGGTTATTATTCCTTTAGAAAGAAGGTCTATTCATTACTCAAGTTAGAGAAACACTAGCTCTGGAATTTTTGATTCCATATATGACTTCCTATGTGACTAAGGTAATGACTTAAGCTCTTAGATTCAGTTTCCTCCTCTACAAAATATAACAGGAATATTTAGGTCATAGGTTAGAAATAACAAACTAATGTACATAAGATGCTTGCCATGATGCCTAGACACAGAGTAAACAATCAATAAATGGTAGCTGCTATTGTTGTTAATAATATCATCATTACTATCTTTATTATTCTTATTAATAAACTATCTTAGAAGTTAATGGAAGGCCATTTTCATATTTGCCGTCAGGCAACTCATTTGACTTTTCAAACTGTTGCATGGATCACTACATCCTTCTACTTTGATTTACTCTGTCCAAGAAACCATAAGTTACCCAATAGTTCTCTTTATCCTCTTTTAAAGACTCCTGGAAATCACATCTCTGCAAAAATTATACTCTACATGCCCATATATTTCCATAATTTGCCACCTTCATGTTCTGTTATTGATCTGTTTCACTGTTTTTTCATATCCAGTGATCTAATTCCAGTTGTGGCCCCATCTAGGTGTGTGACCAACCTTAGACAATTAACTCAGAATCATTCTGGTTCTCAGTTTCCTTAGATGTGAAATTAGTGAATGGATGAGACAGTCTCCAAGATCTCATCTATCTCTATTACTATATGATTTAGAATTCCCTATTAACTATAAATAGCTTCTGAAACCACTCTGCTCAACCTGACTGCCTCAGCAATGCTATTTAAGTAAATGTGAAATGCCACCTCCTCCAAGAAGTACAGCCTCTCAATCTCAGAGATATTCTCTTCACGTGTGAACACGTAACCCCCCATGGCTATTTCTTCCAAATCCTCTTCTTAACTATTACTCAGGTAGTACTCTATTGGATTAGCCTTCAAAAGCATCCTCAGCTTTCATACGGTGTAAATATGTTATTGTTTTAAATAGTCTTTGTCAACTATTTGTATTTCACTATACAATATACCTTCTTGGACAAATTTTTCTCATCTTTTTCTCAAACAAAACTAATGTCACAATGCCTTGCACAAAACTGCCACTTAACAAAGGATCAGTGATTTAAACAATTTTCCTAGATTATTGCAAAATGAACTCTTAATTGGTAACTCCTTGAAGTAGGAGTCAAGAGCTCTGGATTCAGGTTTTGTCGACAGTACTAATGTATTATATAACCTTATATAAACTTACTGAATCTCAATACATCTCAATTAACTACTCTACAAAAATGAACCTATTTGCATTAGCCATATTTAACTTAAAGAACTCCTCCATGAAAATAAAAAATAATGTAGAAGTGTTATAAAAATGTTTAATGACATTGTTTTGATAGCTGTAAGATCCGAGAGAGAAGGATTAAAAAGACTTGGTTTTCTCTCTAATTAACCCTAACACAGTATCACAAATAAGCATCCCTGATATCTGAGTTTCTTTGTAGAATAGTCTGAATAGCACCATTCATACATCAGTTAATAACAACTTTTGACAAAGACAATGATCACCTTATAAGTCCCATCAAATGCTCACAAAACAAGTAAATATTCCATTTATAGAACACATTTATAGAAAAATACCACATTTATAGAAAAATTTTTGGTGTAAGACGTGTGTGTGTGTGTGTGTGTGTGTGTGTGTGTATGCCAGTTTGTCACACTCCAGTGGCATGCGTGTTGTTATGATGCTGGAAGCTATGCTACCAGTATTTCAAATGCCAGCAGGGTCACCCATGGTGGACAGGTTTCAGCAGGGCTTCCAGACTAAGACAGACTAGGAAGAAAAGCCTGGCGACCTACTTGTGAAAATTAGCCAATGAAAACCTTAAGGATCACAACCGAACACTGTCCAACTCACTTGCTTTGCAGATGTCATCAAGGGGGATCAACTGCTGGAAGAGACATCATGTTTGGTGAAGTACAGAGCCAGTGAAGGTGAAGGAGACCCTTGGTGACATGGATTGGCACATGGCTGTAACAATGGACTCAAACATACTAGCAATTGTGAGGATGATGCAGGACCAGGCAATGTTTCATTCTGTTGTATACAGGGTTGCCATGAGTTGGAGTCGACTGGTCAGCAGCTATCTATCTATCTATCTAAGCCCTTAATCACAATGCAATCAGCCTTTAGGACACTGTCCTGAAAAATAACCCTAGTCCTTCTTGAAGGATACAAAAACACAGCTGGCCTACACATAAATCATTACCTCTTTTATTGCACCAAAATTTGGTATGTCACTTAAGTAAACCATTTCAGATGGCCCTAGAATGACCTTTAGAATTAATGATAAGGAAATCAAGATAAACAAAACCTCCAGTAAAATTAATCATTAGAATCAATGTGCATCACAACTCAGATTTTTAAATTTTAAAAGAATTATGTCAACTTTTTCTTGTTAATGTATCTCTCAGCTTAAAATATGGTCTCCAAAGTTATAAATGATATTACATTTTATCTTTATGGTTCTTGGCTTTCAGCTTGGTAAAGTTTAATTTTTCTCATGGCTCATGGGACATGAACCAATATGAATGAGCCAAGAATTTCCCCCCTTAACATCACTGATGATGTCATTTCAGTTCCGTGATTGAGGGTTTGTCAGAAAGCTTGTGCTCCCTCTACTGACCAAAAGGAAATGTCAGCAGCAACAAAAAGAATGTTTAGTTTGCAGTAAGGAGAATTATTTTCTGGGGGGAAAAATATAGTACTATAAAACACCTATCTTAAGAATTCCATAGAGAATTCTCTGTTTCTAGAGTAAATGTCTAAGTCTAAATAATTAATTAATACCTTTTTAACACTATTACCCAAGTTGTAATATTTTTAAGAGGTTTTTTATCAACTAAAATTTACTATAAAAGGTTACTGTCTGGAGGATTGTGGCAAAAGTGTTAACATCCTAAAAAGTAATTAGAGTATTGTCGTAATTGTTAAATATTTTGCCTACTAAGAGGAAAATCTATTTATAACTGCATATCTGGATTTGGGTCAGAGTTCAGAGTAGTTAAACATTTAAAACTGATTCTTCCAGATGTTAGGCTGATCATAATTACACCAGTGTGGAACTACTCAACTGTGCCGTTCTAAGTCTCCAGGGCATAGATTGTATCTAATTCCCATGCTTGAGTGAGAGTTTCAGTGATGGAACCTAATAAATGTATAAAACAAAATCTGCTCAGAATTATACAGGGAGGAATAATTCTATACCTTGCAACTCTTCAGCACATCAATGCAAAGTCAACTAAAACTTAAAAGAACACTCTGCTATTTTTAATGTGCACAGTACTTTAATATTTAGTGTTGCTGATTCTCCTTGATGTATTTAGAGATTTACTTGCACCAAAAGAAAATAATCATTCAACTTTTGCTGGCTTAACATAAACAATACGAAACACATTATATAATTGTTTATCAACTATAAAATAGATTTTGGCTTTGGTATTTCTTAAATTTCCCTTATCTTTCTCCTCTGCCACCTCCAAACTTCCTGTATAATAAAGATTATCTGCTATAAGATCAAGAAATGAGCACTAAAGTTAGTATTACCTTAAGTAAAAGATGATTAAAAAGGTCATTTCA